CCCCTTGATGCATTCTAGCAATCCTCGAGCCATCTCGTCGTGAACTGAAGCAATAGTATACCATTGCTTCAGTGTAGGAGGTAGACAGGCCGAAGGGAGCACTGTCACAGCTGGCCAGCTCCACAGTTCAGGTGAATATAACTTTTTTCTTTTAGCACCTAGACACTAACGAGCACTTAACTCTTGCAATGCGGGGGTAGCCCACACAAAAGAATGCCGTATACCTGTTTACAGCCACATACAACTATTGATGTACAAGGGAGACTGTACACAGTACCTTTGGCATCCTGGTGACGGAAATGCAGCCAACGTTAGGTTGTACAAGTGGAGGTGTCTATGTGCATGACACTAAAAAGTGAATGATTGTATTGCAATGTATTGAAATGTATGCATTAATGTGGACCTTGCAATAACTTTACAATTATGCATTAATATATTGACATGTCACAAAGTCCTTGATCTCCAGTCCAGTGACTTTTGCTAGGCTGAGATGATGTTATCAGTCTGCTGCAGGCAGGAGGAAGCATTTCCTCAGTCATCCCTCCTCCAGAGATTAGAGTCACAAGGGGAGGACTGTAGCAGGACTGTAGTAGGGGCTGATCTGTGCCAGACATATGTGAACATAGCTAAGAACTGCACAGCCACCAGCCTTTATATAAATCTGTCAAGTCTAAGACAACATCTCAGTCTACAAAATAGATGCTGATCCTGAATGATGCCAGAGCAAAGACGATGTCGTCCTTCTGGACAGAAAAGCACATTTATCAAAACCAGAGCAGACAAAATCTGAAGCAGCTGTGCATGGCAACCAATCAGCTTCGCTCTTTATTTTTCAAATCTTAAATGAACAAACTGAAGAGAGCAGCTGATTGGTTGCCATGGGCAACTGCTCCAGTTTTGATAATTCCCCCGTGTTGTCTTTGGGAGTACTCTGATCTCCGTTAGAGTAATATATACCTGGAAGTGTTACATTTACACATTACTTTGCAACAGAACGTTATCAGTTTTGATAAATTCACCCCTCTGTATATTTCTGATTATTTCTGGGACCCTTTGAAAATGGTCACATAACTCCATTGTTATTTCTCATAGTGTGATATTTCATAGTTAGCATTACCATTCACAATTTCAGAGAGGTTTTCAACTTGTTTTTTCTTTAAAGCTGCTATCCTCAGTATTTAGTTGTTCTTGCACCCCAGACAACATGATTTTTAACATACGATAGGTACGCAGTTTATATATGGGGCCCTTGATTTTTGGTTTGCATTTTGACCCTTAAGGTTCCAGGTGTCACACATTCTGTCTCTCTAATATCTAATGTGTAATGTTTATGTAGAGCCTTCTGGTTACTTATTTTTTTATATTTTCTCTTTGAAGGAATCTGTGCTACTTTGCAACAAAGAGCAGTCCATCTGCTGTCATCCTGGACCTGTGGGAAGCACGGCACCCGTATGACGGAAGTTTGGATTCTTTGGCCTGTGCACTTGAGGAAATAGGGAGGACACAAACCAAACTCTCACTGGTTTCAGAAACTCACACAGAGGATCCAGACTTTACCTACAGCAGACAGAATGGACTTTGAGAAGACATGTTTGTCCAGGTCAGTTCTGGATATATTCCAGTCAGTTTTTGGAAAGACAAAGAAGAAAACAGGAAACAGTGGCAGCATCGTATGTGTATTTCCAAATTCCAAATTTATAAAGAAGTAAGTTTGGATGATAGAGATGAGAACAAATACCTTCGCTGCAGCATTATTTAAAGGAACCTTATTTGTGCAAAAGGGTTTTCAAAAAAGCCATCCACCAGCGAGGGAATTTGGAGGCATGGACTTTTAAAGCCTCCCCGTTCTTTGTGGTCTGTAAAAGACATACCTTTAAAAGAATGTGCTCTTTGATTATTTAAATCAACAGTTCAAGGTCAGGGAGAGAAATGGAGAAGAATTATCACATGAAAAGGACACTGTTACACTGTATAATGATGCTAAGTAGCACCCTTCTGTATACAGCTACCCCAAGCTGCTTTGCCTTAGAGAGAATAGAATGCAATAGCCAACACAAATGATAATTCTTGGCATGTAGATTGTGTGTGATGTCTCTGCAGGACTGAATCCCATTGTACAATGCAACTGGTAATGGTATCTGAGTGTTACTAGTTGCCAGCATCCGTAACTGTTGGCCAGAGTCAGTGTTGCCCAGGTTTGTATTCTGTTCACAGAAGCATTGTTTCAGTTTGTAAATGTGTTGTGCAGTGTATTCAGCTGTCAGTAGAATGGGACGTTTTTAGGAAACCAAAATAAGCTTAAATGAGAGTGTGCCCCTGCTTTCGCAAAACATAGTCATCTATTTTGTGACCAGAGCCATTGATGTTGATGAGCCGCAACCTAGCAATTCATTAGAGATTAGAGGCTGATGTATAAAGTTGGAGAAATAGAAAAGTGGAAAAGTAAATTTCAGTTATTTACTTTCAAGTGCAGACATAAAAAAAACAAAAGTTGATGATCATTTGGTCACTGGCACCACGTTTCCTTTTTTCATTTTTTTATACATGAGGCCTGTTCAAGTTCAAAGAACTGTTTTTGCTGCTCAGTGCAACCATTGAAATTATTGCTTTCATTTTCCCGTGCAAAACCATTGGCCTCATTTCTACTGTCATAACCAGAAACTGTTTTGCACTACCCCATAGGCAAAAGTCTAATTAAAACCAACCTTGATATTGATAGTTGAAGAGCAAACATTTATATTTTATTGGCAATGGGAGAGTGAACGAGAATCTAACCAATTGCTATAGGCAACAAGAACGGTTCAGGTTTGGGCACGGTGAGAAGGCACAATGCTTTATCGTTTCTAAAGCAAATAGGTTCTACAACATAATTATTTGATTGGCTACCTACTCATCACACAAAATGGCTGTCTCAGTTTTTGTGCAGGTGTCAGGAGCAAGTTAAGCTTACTGAAATAATTGCCAAGACCATCATATCAAAGTGTCCTCACTATATATGTGCACAGTATTCTTTATTTAACCCCCTCATACACCCTGTATGGATTTTCATGTGTAAGAACAAATGTACGCATTCAGATACATATACACATATATCAAAACCTGGGTGCTTGAGGAGAAAAACTGTACTCTGGAAATTGACCTTATGCTCTGAGTATTTCAGAACTAATTTATTTTATGCTCTGAGTATTTCAGAACTAGTTTAGAACAAATTTACTTTATGCTCTTTGATAACTGAAACATGCACTACACATATTTGCCAGTGTGACCTTCAAGGGAACAAATTCACAGGTCATATAAACATGGTAGCCAACCAGGAAGACAGATGGTGCTTACATATTTAGTGCAAGCATATAATTTGTTGGTGATAGTTACCCAGACATGAATAAAGGTTTAACTGACTGACTACTAAATTCAAAAATATTTTATCTGTAATAATACATCAATATCACACATCCTTGTAAGTCTTTTTTTTTTAATTTGTCATCAAATTATGGGTCATATTCTGAGCACTTAGATATGGTTTGTGCTGTTTATTATGTAAATATTATGTAAAACCGAAGTAAATGTGAACTGATATGGATGGACACAAGGTCTCCCCAGTTCATTTACTATAAATCAAAATTTTAATGTTTGCTTTTAATCAGCCATAACTTAGAGTTAGTGACCGTTATGTTATATAGCTCATTACTTATGGGTATAGGTTACCCCCTATGAAAATTTCCCTTCACCTTAAAACACATACACAGAGTTGTGTTCAGGAAATACCATTAGTCACAGCTTGTGATAATGTGGACCAAATGCTTACCTTTGACATTTAAATTATGGTGATATATGACAAATTAGACACAGGCACTAGCTATGTTCATCAATTATGGGCAAATACTATACACAAATCTCAAGGGCTAAAGAAATATTAAGTTAACGTGGCTAATTATGAGTAAGAATGACTTTGAAATCATAAGGCAGCTTCTGCATTCATTTTAGCACAACATTGCTGTCTTGATGGCACTTAAAGTCTCAGTAGTGATATAACTCATTCCAAGAAAATTCTTACATGAGTGGCATGAAAATATCAAAGAAAAATTGTTCAAGGGAGACTGACAATGAGCATAGTCTTATGTTATTCATTGAGTGGACCATTGCAATTTGAATAAGTAAGCAACGATAAACCCATACCCGTGGACGTTTCCAGGAGTACCCTGGTGCATTAGAGCCTGTGCCAGATACAGTGTATAGGACCCCCTCTAGAGTGGCAATAGACTTAATACTGCATCAAATATTCATAGTGTGGCAGTTACTAAAACTGGACATGAATAATGACACTCATATGTTTCTCTCCCCACTTTTGAACACCCTAAAATTTCCCTCCCTGGAGTCTGACATCCATTCCCTGTTTTCTGTCACCCTAACTCATACTCCATGCTCTCTGACGCTCTAACATTTCAACCTCTGCTCTCTGACACCCTAATGTCTCACTCACTGCTCTTCTGAAATAGTAATGTTTCACTCATTGTTTTATGACACCCTAACGTTTTACTCACTGCTCTCTGATACCATTATATTCCACTACCTGCTCACTGACACTGTAAAGTTTTTCTGCTCACTGACACCCTAAAGCTTATCTGCTTTCTGACATCATAAGGTTTCATTCACTGCTCTCTGACACCCTAACATTTCATTCACTGCTCTCTGACTCCCTAATGACACACTCCCTGTTCTCTGAAATCTTAATATTCTACTCCCTGTTCTCTGACACCCTAAGTTTTTACCCTTGCTCTCTGACACCCTAATACCTCTCTCCCTCCTCTATGACACCATAATGTCTCCCTTCCTGCTCTCCCATGCCCTAATGTCTCACTACCTGCTCTCTAACAACATAATGGGGTTGATTTACTAACCTTATAAACACACCACGAATGTGTATACACCTCTGCAGTGTGTTCCCTCCCAGCATGATCTATGGGTGGAATCTAAACACCTTTGTAATGTGTACACACCCAGCAGGTGTGTTGTGCAAAGCCCTGAAGGAATTCCAAGGTGATGTTGTGTAAATTAGCTCTATGTTGTGTTGCTTGCATTGATGAATGCAGGAATGTAAATGCATGAGCTAACCATTTTTGTCTAAACTGTGAAGCAGCATTATATATGCATCATGTGCATGATTTTTCCATATATGGCATTAGTGGAAATATGCTTTTAGAGACTTTTTGGTTGATAAATACGTTTTGCTGTGTGAAAATCACACGCACCTGGTGTGTGTGTGTGTTTAGGTTAGTAAACCAACCCCAATGTCTCACTCCCTGCTCTCCGATGCCCTAATGTCTCATTCCCTGCTCTCTTACACCATATTGGCTCACTCCCTTCCTGTTTTTTGACACCCTAATGTCTCACTGCCTGCACTTAGACACCCTAATATTTTACTCCATGCTCTCTGACACCATGATATATCACTCCCTGCTCTATGACACTCTAATGTCTCACCCCCTGCTGTCTGACACCCTAATGTCTCACCTCTTGCTCTCTGATACCATAAAGTCTCACTCCCTGCTCTGTGATGCTCTATTGTCTCAATCCTTGCTCTCTGAAACCCTAAAGTTTCACTCCTAATTGCTCAAGTGTTTAGGCACCTAGCGAAAAAGAATTAAGTATGCACCCAAGTACAGACAATGCTAGTAGGACATGGAGGGCCTCATGAATGAAAATGCCTGAAGAAAGAAGACTGCCGGTAACAAACAATTATGTTCTCCTTTTCATTCTCTCATACTGCATTTGGTACATACATAGGATAATATGATTGCTCGCCATGGACAATAAGGCCTTCTCTCTCTCACGTATACAAAAGTTCCTCAGTTATTTGTAATTCCTACAGCTACAGGCATACAAGATGACCACGCCTGCTACACTATACATTACAAGTATCAAGTTTGTTGACTATATTCATCTTCAGGGAGGACCCACTGACAGTAACATGTCCTATGATGTAAAAAATATATTTTGACACTAAATAAAGAAAATACTACGGTACTACTGAAAAAACAGCCAATCAGGATTAATCTAAAACTACTCAGATATCAAAGTGTGAACTCCGAATGGTTGCTGGGGGCTATTGAACTTAAGAACAAGAATGATTTGTTGAATAAGGCTGCCACACACACATCCGAATATGGCTGTTTTATAGAATATCAACTCCAAGAACATTAAAGTAGAATTGAAGCCAAAATGTATGATTTAGTTTCTGGATAGAGTAAGAATAACAGAGACAGCAGTATTGTAGTTTAAGCCAATATCCAGTTGAAAGTTGTGACAGGCAGGATTATATGTTAAAACACAACATGGTGTGATACTCTTGGCAGATTACTAGTTGGGGAAATAAGATGTTGTCCTACGACATCAGGATTGAACAAAATATGTCACTTTCTTCATGTAAGCACTGCTGCATAGCTGCAATATAATAACCCCTGGCAGTTTTAGTGCAGCTGGAATCCTAAGTTAAAATAAAATGTCATCAGTCATTTAATTAACCTGTCCTGGTGTCATGAAGCCGTACCCCACCTGGCCATATACATATCTTTACTTATTCATTTTCAACCATGGCCACTGCAGAAAGCTATACCTCTGCTTTACACTGGTGCAGAAAGTGAATGGAAAGACATC